GTTTGGAGAGAAATAATTGCGCCCATATTCCCAAAAAATGTTTATAAATGTTCTTTTACATTTAAAGGGGGATATGATATAGGTATGAATAATTTGCATTAGTATAGATTTTGATAGAGATTTACGGTCAATTTTATTATATGTATATGTATTTCTGATATTGATTAAGGTATTGTGACTGTGTAGTTCATTATTAAAATGTAATGCATAATTAGGAAATATAGGTTGTTGATGGATAATCATAAATAATAGTCAAGTTTGTAGTCATGTTAGTTAATATTTTCTAGATGTACACAGATATATTTTAGGTAGGCATTCTTCATATCTTTCAAAGATTATAGAATATGGCATTTTAAATGTTTTAATAACTTAGGACTTTTCATGACAATGAGACACTTTGCTCCTGGCAGCACCAATCTACTTCAAGAGGAAGATGGGCATCGAAGAGGCTCGTTATGGAGTTTGATTGCCATTTGGGCAAGAAACTGCTCTTGCCTGGACTGTTGCATTAACTGGACATAAAGAACCCACAGAGAGAGGACTACTGAACTTGCCTAAGGTGAGATGATCTTTCGGGGTTCCTGATTCATGAAAGAGTCTGCGAGACATTCTGCAGGACACAACAGATAGTGACTGAACTGACTTTGAATTTTCCTGCTTTATGGAAATGTCTGCTGGATACCATGGGCCTGAAGGCTGAAGATGGATGCCCCAACGGTACAGAGGAACTTTGGGTGACTGTCCAGGCAGCGAGATGTCTCTGTCATTTCTAGAGTTTTAAAAAGTTGCTTTTTTCTTGTTTGCTTGGGTAGTATTGTATCTTTCTGGAGTCTTTGATGGAGTTAAGAATAGTTAGTTATAGTTTTCCTTAGTTATGATAAAGATTATTGTAACTTTTACTTGATAACTGTCTCGTTATATGTAATTTTGCTATGTTAAAGTTAAAGCCTTTTTTTTGTTGTTGTTTAAACTGAAAAAGGGCAAATGATGGAGGAAGGTCATTGGTTAAATAAAAAGAAACTGCTTGGCCCTCATTGGTTAGAAGATAGGTGGGAGGAGTAAACAGAACAGAATGCTGGGAGGAAGAGGAAGTGAGCTCAGACTCCACAGCTCTCCTCTCAGGAGCAGACACCTCAGAGAGACGCCATGCTCCCAGCTCCCAGGCAGACGCATGCAATGAAGCTCCGACCCAGGATGGACTAGGCTAGAATCTTCCCGGTAAGCACACCTAGGGGTGCTACACAGATGATTAGAAATGGGCTAAATTAATATGTGAGAATTAGCCTAGAAGAGGCTAGATAGAAATGGGCCAAGCAGTGATTAAATGAATACAGTTTGTGTGTTGTTATTTCGGGGCAGAAGCTAGCAGGCGGCTGGGGTGCTGGGGATGCAGCCCCGCCGCCCATATTACTACAGGGTTGGAAATCTATTCACAGGAAGAAGAGAACACAGTTGATGTGCAATAGGTGTCCGACATGAGTACATATGTAAACACATACATAGTACAATAGCATGCATGACTACAAAGTGTCCCTGAGAAACTGAAGGAACTTTACCCCCTCTTCACAGGACCCCAGAGATCTTCAGTCCACACCCAGTGGCCTCTGAACGCTCTAGCAGGATGACGGCAGCACTGACACACAAGGAGAGAAGGAGGAACAAGCCCTGTGGCCCTTAGAAAACAGAAACACCACCAGAAATGTGCTGTCACTGTACCACTGAGCTACACCATTGATCCACAGATGCTGCTATTGCCTGGAACCAGATCTGGAATCATGGGCCTCATTGGATACCTCCTCTCAATGCTCAATCCATCTGGCAATTCCCCAAATCACATAATTATTTCTTTTATTACTACTGAAAAAGAAGAGTCAGACTGAGGATTCCAAGTAGGCATTTTATATTTCCCGCAGATAAAAGGTATAAGGTAATGCAATGTGTGTGATCCTGATGAGGGCAGAAGGAAGGCTTGTCATTCCAGGGTGGGGTGGGAGGAGCTTACTGCCATTCACTGAAAAGCCCACTCAGTCAGTGAGAGAAGGGGTGAGTGGAGATGAGTGTGTACATTCTAAAATGATTGCTCAAAGTGTTTTAAAATGATGTGATTGTGCTCACTATGCACTCAAGGTTACAGGTCCCTGCACTCTCCTCACTCCCTGGTGAAAACTACTTTCAGGCATGGCTCGTTTGTCTTACACGATGAAAAGGTCTTTAATATCCCACCTTCTCAAAGACTCAGAGAATCCAAACCCTATGCTATTGCTGCATCATGAAACTTGAAATTTCCAAAAAAGCAAGTTCTCATGTTGGGTTGAGTATGCCACTCAAAACCAAATAAAACAATAATTGATGATAACAGCAAAAACCCCATCACCACCATGCTCATGTACCCCTGGGATAGGGAATTTCTCCAACATACAAATCCATATCAAAGAGGGATTAAAGAAATGCTAGCTATTTTAATCTTTTTGCACCAAGAAAGGAAATAGCAAGACCACAGAGAGAGAGGCTTTGTACACAAGCGAAGGGAAAATATGGGACAAGCACTTCAGAGGAACAGGAAGTAATGGTAGGCAAGGTGCCTTGGGAAGACACAGTCTTGGACTTTCATTGTTGTGTCCAGCTGTACCTGACAAGACAATGGTTCTTATTGGGACACACTGGCTCTCTAACAAGTATTACCCAAGAGAGTTGGGTGGAAACGGCAGCATGCAAGAGAAATCAGACAAAGACCTGGGAAAAACCAGGACTTAGTACATGGTGGTAATTTTAGGTCATCTTATCTATAAAGTCAGATTCCAAATGGAGGAAATAAGAGAATAAAATGTTTTACAAGAAAGGATGGTAGGAAGCCGAAGCCTGGGAGGACAAGTTCATAGAAGACTGGAAGTGAGCTCCATCACAACCTTGGACACTGTCTTAGTCAGTGTTCCATTGCTGTGAGGAGACTCCATGACCACAGCATTTCTCATAAAGGCCTGCTGACAGTTTTAGAGGTTGAGTTCACTCTCATCATTGCAGCGAGTATGGTGGTCCACAGGCAGACACGGTGCTGCAGGAGTTGAGAGTTCTACATGCAGATCCACAGGCAGCAGGAAGAGAAAGAAACTGGGCCTGGCTTGGGCCCTCGAAACCTCAAAGCCCACCCCCAGTGACACACTTCTTCCAGCAAGGCCACGCTTCCTAATCCCTCTCAAGTAGTGCCACTCCCTAATGACTAAGCATTCAGATATATGAGCCTGTAGGGGTTATTCTTATTCAGATACCAAACAGGAAAAAAAACTGTTGAGAAATTGATATTCTATGGTAATTAAGTAGCTGGTTATAATAGCCTCTTTTAGAGAAATGCAAAAAAGAAAATGTAGAAAATGCTTCCTTTTAGTTAAACTTTAGTTTGGAGTTAAATAACCTCTTCTGGCTTTCCTACCTATAAAACAGAAACGATGCCAGCTGCTTCCCAGTGCTGTTGCACATCTTAGCAGAGTGCACACACACATGCACAGACGGTATATTTAACACAGCATCAGACTCAGAGTGGTTTTTAGATGGTAATTATTGTTTTGTGTAAAACAAGCACTCCTTTTTGTTCTATAGTTTAACCTAGAAGTGTTTTGTTAAATATTTTCCTAACACACTGTCAAGATTTTCTCTTGTGTGGGATTCTGTATCAAAGCTTACCATACTAAGTCCCAAATTACTTTACTAAACTCATTCCAGAGTAGTAAAGAACTTTCATCCTTCAAGTGGTGTTTAGGTGGCAAGACCTGGTGCGTCACACTTCATGCAGACAGTTTCACTCATATACAACCCAATCAAGCATGATTTCTGATACAACCCAATCAAGCATGATTTCTGCTTTAGCGTTTCATTAAGGGTGTCAGGGCTAATCTTGGTTATCAACTTGACATACTTGGAAAGTAGGATCCTCACTATTGGGGAATTGCCTCCATCAGATTGGCCTGTGACATGTCTGGACAGCACCTGGGCTATGTAAGAAAACAGGTTGAGCATGAGCCAGGTGGAGCAAGTCCATACGCTGTGTTCCTCTGTGGTCTCCATTTCAGTTCCTACAACCAGGCTGTCACTTTGAGTTTCTACCTGGCTGCCCCTGATGACAGACTATAAAGTGGAAGCTAAAATAAATTCTTAAACCCTTTCCTCCTCAACTTACTTCAGTCACGGTGCTGATCAAAGAAGGAGATGCAAACTCAGACAAAGGTACTAACGCAGCACTAAAGACTCTCCAGAGAGGCTAGAAAAGCTTCTCAGAAACTGCCAAGCAAATGCATAAAGACACAAATCCTAGAGCTTGTCAAAAATGGACTTAGTGATTAGAATCCACAGGGCCAAACACGGTGATACACACTTTTAATCCCATGACTCTGGAGGCAGAGGCAGGGAGATCACTGTGAGTTCAAGGACATCTTGTCTACATAGTGAGTTCTGGGTCAGTCAGGAATACACAGTGAGACCTTCTTTCAAAAAAAAAAAAAAAAATATATATATATATATATATATATATATATATATATATAGCCTTGACAGCCAGTTTTCACAACAAAGAAAGTCATGAACTTCCCTTTAGCCAGCAAAGCCACTAATCACTCTTTTCAACATCCTTACAAAACATAGTGACAATGTTGTAACACCATATTAAAAAATAATTCCATCTTTTTGTGTTGCCTAACACGATTCCTTTCTCGGACTAAACAAACAGACTACTTTCCCATTTGTGTTGCAAGTCACCACCGTCCCTAGGTTAGGCCACACTGGGTCCAAAGCCCAGAAGCTATGACCACAGCATGAAGGCTGTATAGGCTGTGTACACCTTCCACCAAAAGCACCTGTGATATCACTGGAGGCGACAGCAGGGTTTAGTCAAGCCACTCTGCCAGTACCTTGCACTGTGCCACTGACAACATAAGAAGCTATTCCCAAACCGCCTCCTTCCTGTAACTTGGTCTCATTATTTTTCCTATCACGCAGGGCAATTGTCTTACCGCAGATGTTAGCCGAGCGAGAATTTCATCGCTGCTTTCTTCTGAGTCCTCCACTTTCTGATGAGACCTTTGAAAAAGAAACAACAAATTAATCTATAGGGCTGGTTGCTCAAACTTATGTACCAAATTATGGAAAATAAAGGGCAAAAATAATTGACATTGTCATTATGTCATGAGTGAAAGTATGTAAATAACACTGTGTTGACAGAGCCAGAGATACACAGTCCTTTACCAACCAATTGTTCTTTAGAATCAATTATCCAGTACCCCTTCATACTGCACCAGCTGAGTTTGGGGTGCTACTCCCCAGACATTATAGGATAACCATAACATACCTGATTACAGATACAGTCATGAACAAAAGTAGATGTGAACATAAGGTGGTTAAGTACTGAGTTCCGCTGAATCTAAATGAAACTGTGAAGCTATGAAATGTGAATTTTCCAGTACATTTGAGTTTCATACCAAGCAAATTAACTATGAAATAGTGCATTTTAGGCTTAATCCTACGGTGAAAATTAGAAAATGAAACAAAAAATGCAGAAGTATAGAAATACTTTGCTTTCAGAAAAATCACAGCCCATGTGAAAAGAAAAAAAAAGTCATGCAAATATCAAGTAATTAATGAGACATAACAGTACAAGATTATTTTGTTTAGGATTTACACAAATGTGTCTTTGTTATGCCCACATTATAAGTCCCTCAAAGACCACCAGGAATCCAAATTTGTATGCAAAAGCAAAGAGCCTTTATTGCAAGCCTAAACTTGGGCTCTCTGTTGTCCTGACACAGCAGTTGGATTGGAGGAACACTGAGCTCAGCTATGGCAGGGTTCTGAAGGAGTATGCAGGGGTGGGGAATTCTGGATTTAGATGGGGTTTGAACTCCTGATTGGGCAGGAGTGGGGCAACAGAAGTCTTGTCAAACAGGGATTGGTACTGGCATTGCTAGAAGGAAACTGATAACCTATGTACAAGTTAGGTAAGCTATGCTTAATCTTCTGGAGCATCTAGTACTTGTTTGTCTTCATTCTGATTGGTCCTCTGAAGGGTACAGCGTGTGGCTTTTCCTGGTTATTGTAATGGTGAGGCCTAGTCTCAGTAATGCTAGTTTGCAGCCTATTATGGCTGCACTGATGTTAAGATAGGCCTCTTCATTTCTACTTGAAATAAAAATCTTATAAATTACATTTTTTTCCTAGTTTGGTCAAAGGAAACAATGAATTAATAACAAGTGGATGCATAAAACTGTATCTTAGAACTATTTCCACAAGCATCCCCTGTCGGCACACTCTGTGATGAGCAGTTCATGGTAATTGATCTGATGGGCCAAGTATCAGAAATGCAGTGCAGTGATTGATTCCCATCTCAGTAGCTGGGGGAGCCAGCTGGAGAACCCCAAGAACAGGCGGCCCTATTCCAGTTCTCCACAGAAGGGAGCAGCAAATTTGTAAGAAGGGTCGATCCAGTTGATCAATTCTGGCATTTGGTTTCTTGATTCTGGTAAATGTTATTAAACCACTTTTCAGAAAGAAAGTCATGATCCTAAAATCTCAGGAAGGAATACAAGCCCCTGCCTTTCTAAGAGTGGGGAGATGCAGCTATGAAGTCCAGCCCAGCTGGCCCATGCCCTAACTGCCACTGTTTGAACAGCTAACAAAAGATCTGCAGAAAAAACCGGGCATCTTTACCTTTGCTTGTCTTGAAAGTCACCTGGGAGTATTTCAAACAATAATCCTTATTATTAAAATTCTCATTTCCTTGTAAAGGAGGCTATGCTGAGACGAGAAGATGTGAAGCTACACAACTCCAGTCACTGAGCCTGATTTACATGATTAGGCTTAGTGACCGAACAGAACTGACAGGGAGTTAAGGACCAAGTGTACCAGCCAGCATAGCACTGAACGAGGTCTTATGTGGCTGCATCTGCCCATCATCTGCGGTACAAGTGGCTTTTCAGGCCTGTCAGACACAAACTGATAGTTTCCCAATAATAGATTGCACGTCCAAGCTTCTCTTGCATCCAGGACAAGCAGTTCAGGGAAAGGAGGGACTAGGGTGGAGAAGTTATTTCTGCCTCTATAAGGGGCCATATCACATATTCTGTAGGTACTTTGTCCCTCTGTACAAATAAGTTCCTCCTCACGGTGAATACATATAGCTTCCAAAAGGTCAGATGGTGCCTCCCCCGCCCTCCATCTTCCATCTCTCTACAGCTTGCCTTAAATAATTTAACAAAAACACCACCCGAAAGTTGAGTTAGCGGGCATGAGACAGTGTGAGCTAGCACAGACTCAGCTGTGAGAATCTGTCTTCAGAAGGCTGCTGAGAGGAGCTGCAATTCCAAGGGAAGCTCATGTGTCTACGACTCGGGATGGTTCTTTCACGAGCAGTCGGTGTGCTATTGCTGCCTTCCTGAAACATAATCCCATCCCTGCTCAGAGGCAGAGCTATCTTCATCACACATAGCACAAACAGTTCTTGGCAGAAGCATTTCTGAGGATAATACAAGAGAGTGTGATGCTCTCCTTGGAGTTGGCTGTAACCTGCAGCTTGCTTTTACCTCCTCAGTCACCATGATCTTAGCAGATTCACACATAGAACCCCCAGACCTCTCTCTAGTTTCTGAATCTTGCTGAGCATGTCTGGTTTCTCCACATTGCTTCTCTCCTTCTCCCTTCATGGTGTCCTGATACCCCATGGCCATCCATCCTTTCTGCACCCACTCCCCATGGCCAGTCACCAATCATATTCTTTCACGTTCCTTTCTCCAGTTCTGCTTCCTTTGGCCCAGGCCTTCAACCCCTCTCAGACTGTAACCTCCCTTTTAACTCACTTGATTGCTCTGGTCTTTCTTGTTCTGTTCAATCTTCCACGGCCACCCACTCCCTTTCTAAACCCCAGATCTGGAAGTGCTGTTCCTAGATGTCACCCAGAGTAGCCTTGTTGCCTGCTGAGAACAGTGAAGTTCAGAAATACCTTCCCTTCCCTGCCCACGGGGTCCCCAACTCCCCACATTGAAAGCTTTGTACCTCTTATGGAGCCTAAGGGAGCTCGTGGAAGCAGAGCTGCTGGCTACAGTGGGGAGCTGGAGTTAGAGAAGCAGTAGGGGACAGTGGCTCTCCTGTTCTCACTGCCCCACTTGGTCCTTAACTCCCTGCCCAGCTCTTTAGGAAAATGTCAGAAGAATCACATTTGCTTAATACTGCAAACAAACTTCTACAAAATGTGAATAAATTCTTATTTTACTTATATAAATACGTCACGGTGCAGCTCAGGAAAGACCAAGTTTTCCCTATCATATTAAGTAGACAATAAACCAGACAAGGCAGAGAGGCAGCAAGCATATGTACGGTCAGCATATTTTCCATTATCATTGGGATATACTATGCTGCTAAGTGAACAAGAGAGGGAGAAAGAAGGGAAGTGAGAGAAGCTGTATGGTTTGGCAGTCAGAGGACGGAAACAGAGACCCTGGCTGGAATGCACCTGTAAGGGACAGGGAAGTGGCTCTGGGAAGATGTTTTGTTGCACACTTGTGGCTGGTTGTAGGAAGCTCTGGACCAGTTAGGAATTCCAGGGCTGATGCCCAAGGACTCTGCTTTTCATTGAAAGCCAGACTCAGTAGTTTTCCAAAGGAATGCACTAAGCCCTGGTGTAAGACTGGTCTTTAAAAGCCTGTGAAACCTAGTATCTTAGAGTTCTATTGTGTGGATACAGGGATGGCAAAGTCTATGTTCATTGGCCTTGTGATGTGGGAGTGTTTTCTATCTATCCATTGCTTTCATTGGTTAACTAATAAAGAAAACTGCTTGGCCTGATAGGGTAGAATTTAGATAGGCGGAGTAGACCGAACAGAATGCTGGGAAGAAGGGAAGTGAGGCAGATGATATAGCTCTCCTCTCCAAGATGGACGCAGGTTAAGATCCTTCCCGGTAAGCTACCACCTCGTGGTGCTACACAGATGATGAGAAATGGGTTAATCAAGATGTGAGAATTAGCCAGTGAGAGGCTAGAGCTAATGGGCCAAGTAGTGTTTAAAACAATACAGTTTCCATGTAATTATTTTGGGTAAAGCTAGCCGTGCAGGAGCTGGGTGGTGGGAAAAGGCCCGTAGCTCCCTTCTACAGCCCCGGACCCTCTAGCCATCAAGCTGGAAACATCATATCATATCATATCATATTATATCATATCATACATATCATATCATTCTACCCAAAGTGCCTGCAGTCCCCGGGAGAGGGGGTGGTGTGGGAAGAAAGAAAGAAAGAAAGAAAGACCACAGAAAGTTTTTCTCTCTTCCCACAGTGTTCCTAATCTTAACTGGTGGCAATAGCAACACTGTGGCCCTAGTTAGACATCATCCTCAACCCTCCCCATTCCCTCCTTCTGCTTCCCCATGCACACTGAGGCACACTGTGCAAGCGATAAACACCTTGCAATGCCTCTGGTCCTTCCTTCAGGGTGTTCTTCCCTCTTCTCACAATGTTTATCACTGCTGCTGTAGTCCCAGCCCTGACCCCAGAATGGCCTTGAAAACATCTAGAGCACAACCTTAGTCTTCTGCCTAGACCTACAGTCAGGGAACCTCAACTGAGCAATTTTCACAGGTCAAACCAACAAGCGGCCATGTCTTTGAGACACTGTCTTGACTGATGATTGGTAGAGGACCACTGTGGCCTTCACCAGCACCAGGCTGGACGAGTGAATAAGAAAGGTATCAAAGCGAGCTACAGAGAAGGCCAGTAAGCAGTGTTCTTTCATGGTCTCTGCTTTAGTCCCTGCTTGATTTCCTGCCCCGCCTCCTCAATGGTGGACTGTGACCCAGAAGTATAAGCCAAAACCTTTGACTCCCTAAGCTGCTTTTGGTCAGACTGTCTTACCACAGCAGAAACCAGCTAGAACAGCCTACCTCACACCGTGACTCCCTACCCTTCCTCACACCGTTGACTCCCTACCCTTCCTCACACCATGACTCCCTACCATTCCTCACACCGTGACTCCCTACCTTTCCTCACCCAGTGACTCCCTACCCTTCCTCACACCGTGACTCCCTACCTCACACCGT